TGGATATCTCAGCGACGATAGGTCATTCCGTTACCCTATCCCCACCAATCAACCCGACGGGATCCCGGGGGCACCAGTCCTCTCACCTGGCCGTTGGTCCCTAGTCTACTCTGACATAGCCTATGGAATCGCCCAGTTGGACAGCCTGTACGTCGGCCCCTTTTCCCCTAGCACATGCTGGGCGAATTCCAAAATAGCGATAGTCTAGTAACGTCCTCCAGACCTCCAGGGGTCGCGGTTTCACCCATAACCGCTATGCCTTAGGTCTTTCATCGGTTTGTCGCTCAGTTCATCTAGTCGCGGCTTTCTTCAGCCGCCTCTAGATGTCGCCTCATGTCTCAATGTTAGAGTTCACGTATCTTTTTAAGGGGATTTCAACCCGTAACGAGAAAATCTTGTTACAACATTTTATGTTAAAACTATCCACCCTTCACATAATTTCCAAATTACGATAGCACCGTAGATCAATTTCTTTCATTCCACCACTTCAACCCAGGATTATCATATCAAATCAAATCAAACTAAAAAAATAACGATTTTTTTGTTCTTCTAAGGTCCCTGAGACTCTACAAGCCCTCATCGAAGCTGACATCAACGTCTGGGTCTTGACAGGAGACAAACAGGAGACCGCCATTAACATCGGTTACTCCTGTAAATTAATTACCCAGTCTATGCCATTGATAATCGTAAACGAGAGTTCATTGGACAAAACAAGGGACGTAATCGTCCAGCACTGTTCGGACTTTGGGCCGGACCTGAGATGTCAGAACGATGTTGGACTGGTTATCGATGGAAATAGCCTGAAGTATGCACTCTCCTGCGATTTGAGGAGCGATTTTCTGGATCTTTGCACATCCTGCAAGGTCGTGATATGCTGTCGAGTCTCTCCGATGCAGAAGGCAGAGGTGGTGGACCTTGTGACGAGCAATACCAAAGCTGTCACGTTGGCTATTGGCGATGGAGCCAATGACGTTGCAATGATTCAGAAGGCTCACATTGGAGTGGGAATTTCTGGGGTCGAGGGACTCCAAGCAGCCTGCGCTTCTGACTACTCCATTGCCCAGTTCAGGTTCCTCAAGAGACTGCTCTTCGTCCATGGCTCCTGGAATTACAGCAGAATGTGCAAACTCATTTTGTATTCTTTCTATAAGAATATTTGTTTATATGTTATCGAACTGTGGTTCGCCATTTACTCCGGCTGGTCCGGTCAGATTCTTTTCGAGAGGTGGAGCATTGGACTTTACAATGTCGTATTCACAGCTGCACCACCTCTTGCTATGGGACTATTTGATAAGGTGTGCTCGGCTGAAACGCATCTTGCACATCCGAGATTATATGCTGCCAAGAACACAAACGAATCTACATTTAATATTAAGGTAAATGGAATAATTGATTGATTAATTCGTGTTTATCATGGGTTCCTTTACTTGAGAGAAACATTTTTGTTTTTAAATCGTATTTCTCCAATCGAGTCATTCCCAGGCGAGCCTGATCAGGTTTCAATTATAACAATCATGTTGCTCTAGAGACTGACTATGTTGCATATCACTTTGGATGAAATCCTTCAATGATTATTCATTTTTCCTAAATTTCTTATTAATATAATTTATATCATTGTCATAATTGAATCCTAATGAGAATTGCCTGAGAATGCCTCGACTGGAGAAATACGGTATTGAAAAAATTAATACTTCTTTCAAGTCAATGAATATTTGGAAACCATTTTTTTTTTCAGTGTACCTACTTATTTAATCTTCGTAAAAAACTACTTATTGCGATTTGTATAATGATTGAGTACTGGCCATATTTTTTATATTTTTCTAAAAAATAGGACCGTTTTCCACCCCGTAGGGAAGAAAACGTATATTTTAGGTCTTGCCGAGGCTTGACCCTTCGGAGATTACCTTTCATATCCTTAGCATGTGTGTGCACCCAAACTAGTCAAATCTCCCTATCAGCGCCATCTAACAGGGTTTAAGGGTACTTTCTGAAAGCCACAAGTGCCTGGCAAGTAGCTCCGCGCGGCGGGCGCGGAGGTTTCTCAGTAGCTTCTCCGAATGACGGCAAGCCCTTACTAGGGTCAAGCCTCGGCAAGACCTAAAATATACGTTTTCTTCCCTACGGGGTGGAAAACGGTCCTATTTTAAGTCTGTGCCTTCGGCTTGACCCTTCGGAGAGATGTTTGTAATCTGCCGGCACTTGAAAGATGTACTGTGACTCCAAAGGTTGAATGTGAAACCATTTATTTCGCTTTGGCAAACATTGAAATATAATAAGTATTTGAATGGCACTTAGACACTGTCATACAGGTCTTTGCAAGAGGACTCTTTGGTTCAATTATTGAACTATACTACTTATTGAAAATAAACTATAGAAGATACCAGAATTATACTGGCTTAAAACTTTTAATAAGAGAAATATTTTCATCAGATGTCTTAGGTTTATCAATCTCCTTCCAATAGTGTTTGAAGAAGTTGTTCTCTCCTTTCCAGTTACCCCTCGCGAGTAACTCGTCCATGCCCATCTTGTTTTGAAAATTCTTAGATGCTACTGCTGATCTAGTTGAACCTGCGCTCGCCTTAATTCCTGCCTGCTTGAAAGCTGTGTCGACCCATCCCGCAATCACAGACCTGGATGCTGTCTTGACTTCTCCTCTTGTTGTGATGAACAGAGATGTCAGATGATGACGAGCCTTTCGCCTCTCAGCTGATAGGACCATAAGCAGGTTTATCCATTTAACCATGTTAAAAATTGGATCTTGTGAGCCCGTGATCTGCCAACCAGATTGACGTGAGTCCGCTCTGTCTGTCTTCGAACCAAACTCCGGCCAGAAGACAACCTCATTCTCCAGAATACTGCAGAAGTCTGNCTCGGCAAGACCTAAAATATACGTTTTCTTCCCTACGGGGTGGAAAACGGTCCTATTTTAAGTCTGTGCCTTCGGCTTGACCCTTCGGAGAGATGTTTGTAATCTGCCGGCACTTGAAAGATGTACTGTGACTCCAAAGGTTGAATGTGAAACCATTTATTTCGCTTTGGCAAACATTGAAATATAATAAGTATTTGAATGGCACTTAGACACTGTCATACAGGTCTTTGCAAGAGGACTCTTTGGTTCAATTATTGAACTATACTATTTATTGAAAATAAACTATAGAAGATACCAGAATTATACTGGCTTAAAACTTTTAACAAGAGAAATATTTTCATCAGATGTCTTAGGTTTATCAATCTCCTTCCAATAGTGTTTGAAGAAGTTGTTCTCTCCTTTCCAGTTACCCCTCGCGAGTAACTCGTCCATGCCCATCTTGTTTTGAAAATTCTTAGATGCTACTGCTGATCTAGTTGAACCTGCGCTCGCCTTAATTCCTGCCTGCTTGAAAGCTGTGTCGACCCATCCCGCAATCACAGACCTGGATGCTGTCTTGACTTCTCCTCTTGTTGTGATGAACAGAGATGTCAGATGATGACGAGCCTTTCGCCTCTCAGCTGATAGGACCATAAGCAGGTTTATCCATTTAACCATGTTAAAAATTGGATCTTGTGAGCCCGTGATCTGCCAACCAGATTGACGTGAGTCCGCTCTGTCTGTCTTCGAACCAAACTCCGGCCAGAAGACAACCTCATTCTCCAGAATACTGCAGAAGTCTGAGTCAATCGATAGAAGAGTAAGATCGTGAATTCTTCTTCCCGAAGCCAAGAGCAATTGGAGAGACACGAATCGGGATACTTGAAAAATACTATCTTCCTTCGGAGGGTGAGTCGACATCCAATCTGTCAAGGTCTTCACATCCCAAATGGTCTTCTTGGTTGGTTTCGTTTGTTTAGCCTTTTGAACGCCGATTGCTTTCAATAAGGATCTGACCAAAGGATTCGAGCTCAAACTAACCTCACCTGTCCCACTCAGCGAGCAGACTACCGACTTTTGAGTGAGAATCGAACTGTAGGCCAATTTCTTCTCGTAAAACACGAAGCTTAAGTAAGAGACCAAGTGATGAGCCTCGGAATTATCAGACGGTATGCCTCTCGATTTACACCAAGACAACCATTGATGCCAGACTGAAGAATAGGTTCTCCAAGAGGATTCCTTCCAGGCCGCGCCCAGAAGACTAATCTCAGGATCAGATAAACCGTTTATCCGGTTACTCCACCCCGTACCTTCCAAACCTCTAAAGAGAGCCCTCTGACGTCTTGGGGGGGAAGCCCCGTTGCTAGGTCCACCAGGTGGCTCTCCAGGTTGAACAGTTGGAATGGGGCAGCTAGGCTCCTGTGTTTCAGATCTCCCCTCCAAAACGTCTTCTCCCATCTTGGGACAACCAGCAGGAAGGTCCCCGACGCTACATTCAGATGGTGGAGGACTTTGGGGATCGATGGAGGTGGTGGAAATATCCAAGCTAACCTCACCCTCCAAGGTCTGCTGAAGGCATTGGTGAATAACGCTTCTGGGTCGTTTACTTCCATCGAGACATACACAGGGACTATCTTGGATCGAGATGTGGCGAAGAGATCGATCTCCGGAGTTCCCCACTTCTGAAAGATCCTCTGGAGGATCTCGTTGCTCAAATGCCAATCCGGCAGTGGTAGATTCCTGGAAAGTCTGTCTGCAACTGTATTGTAACTCCCGGGTAGGAAGAAGGGGACTAGATGTATGCAGTACTGGTCCAGGAGAAGCAAGAGATCCTTTACTAGATTCAGGAGAACTAGAGACCGAGTCCCCCCTTGATTTCTGATATACGCCAGGGTCGTCTTGTTGTCCGACTGCAGCATGACTGATCTGCCCCGGAGCTGGTCTTTGTGATTCTGAATCGCTAGAAGACCTGTGTACAGTTCCTTGCGGTTGATGTGCCACTCGATCTGGTTCGAGGTCCACACTCCTGCTGAGTGAACCCCGTCCAGCTGAAAGCCCCAACCTGTCTGTGAGGCATCTGTTGACAAGAAGATGTCTGGTTCCGGTTGGAAGATGGCTCGTGTTCGGTGGATGTTGGTTTCCCACCATAAGCATTCGATACGGCTCAATTCGAGGAGAGGAAATTGGGTCTCTGGGGACGTTCTTGATAATCGGTGAGTGCCTCGTTGAAGCTGTCGAGAAAAGAGTCGTCCCAGGGGGGTGACCATCCAGGCGAAATTCAGCATTCCTAGCAAGGATGTTGCTGATTTCCAGCTCCAGGAATTTTGTTTTAACCACCTCCCCAGGAGATTCAAGATCCGCTCCTTTTTGTCGTCGGGAAGGACCATCTCGTTGAGACTGGTGTCCCAAATAATGCCCAAGAACTCGATTCTGTGTGTCGGTGTTATGATGGACTTCTGGACATTGACCATCCATCCTAGTGAGCGAAGGAAGTCTATCACGAATACAATCTGGTTTTGAAGCTCCTGGGCGTCCTGATGGGCCAATAGAAAATCGTCCAGATACACCAGAACTCTCATTCCTCTTTCTCGAAGGGTATCTGCCAGCCAGTTGGTTATTCTGGAGAATGCTACTGGGGCAGTTGAGAGACCGAATGGAAGACAGGTTATGTTGTACAGCTGATCCATGTATGACAGACAGAGGTCCCTTCGATGGGATTGTTTTATGGGGACATGCAGATAGGCTTGTGACAGATCTATCTTTGCTAGATAGTCGTTCCTCTGGAGAAATGCTGGTACCTTGCGTTGGTTTATGAGGCGGAACTTTGGGGGATGTAAGTAGTCGTTTAGACAACGTAGATTGAAAATTTGTCGGAATTTTCCTTCTGATTTTGGGATTAGGAACATTGGTGACAAAAAGCCCGAGTCCCAATTCGCCGTCTCCAAAACCCCCTGATGAAGCATAGATCTGATTTCTGTTGTCATTTGTAGAGTAATCTTGGTAGCATATTTTTGAATGTTTAACCTTGAGAGAGGTACGGTGGGTGGTTTCTTTATGAAAGGGATCGTGTATCCTTTCAAGACCTTTAAGATGTGCTTCGGTGCTCCGGCTTCTACCCACCGAGGAATGAACCGACCCAACTGACCTCCCTTGAACGCATAGTCATACTCTTCGAGATCGATGCTGTTGCTTCTTTGAACCTCCACCCTTGGGGAAGTTTCTTGGTGTCTTCGAATCGTGTTTTCGAGAGGCTGGGTAAGAGGATCGAGAGGTTGAGTACGAGGACGACTTGGGCTTTGAAGTTCGTGGGCGAGGGGTGTTTTCGGAGTTGGAATGAGTTTTGGGACGAAAAAGATTGGGCTCTTTGAACTGAGTGGGTTTTGTCGTCTGAGGAAAAACCTTCCTGACTTCACCCTGCTGACTCAGGAATTCCGAGAGTAGTTTCTCGTCGAACAAATGTGATTCAGACGGGGGAATTGCACTCAGCATAACAGCCTGATGGGGTTCTGTCGGCTTGAAGGAGCCTCTTCTCAGCTCGATCAACTCTGCTCTTCTGCCACACGTGTAATGCAGTAAATCCTCCGAGACGGTTCTCACCGCCGACTCCCCGAGGAACAGTTCCTTGACGTCCCCCAGAACTTGTGGGTGCCTTCCCACCAGCACATTGAAAGCTTCTGATAAACTCTCTCTTTGTAATAACAGGCCATGTGTTAAGGTTCCAGTCATTAACTCAGCTTTGGTAAGAATGGAGTTACTGATGGATGGTGAGGTCATGGATGACAACTCACTATTCACCTTGAGTGTATTAAAGACAGGTGACGCCCCCAGCTTCTTCTGCAACTCCTTGTATCGTATCTTATTTCACGATGTCGAACCCAGCTTCTGACACTTGACGCCTTGAGCTCTAATTGATGGTTTCGGTTCTGGTATTTGGGGTTCAGACTCCTTCACCACTGGTTCCCAAGACAGGAGTGATTGTGCTGATTCTGTTGCTTTCAATTCGTCAAACCCTTGGTTCTCTCCCGAATCAAACTCTTCCTCTTCCTCCTCTGACTCGTCCGATGAAGACCCCTCCCTAGATTGGTGGGACTGCTGGGACATCTCATCTATTCTCTCCATTATTGCCCCAAACAAGTTGGTCATTTGATTCTGTAGGGAGGTACCCAGGGCCTTTAGGCACGATCTCTTAACTGGAGGTTCGTCTTCCTCCTCTTCCACTTCCTCAGACTTCGCATCTTGATCCAGCTCCCTAGCTGCGACAGTCCAGGAGGTGAAAAGATGTCTCACTGGTTTCAATGAGTGTACAAACAGCGGAGCCTCAATTACCGAACCACGAATTTTATTGAGTAAGACTGGAGGGCTTGTGATTAGAGCCCTAGAAAAGGGCCAGCATAACATGGAGGTCTTACACTTCATGAAAGACTCTTCGCTTAGGCTTGAGGCCGTGTGAGCGAAAGCCTTTGCAATCTTCAATGTGGGAATCGCAAATTCGATTTTTCTCAGTTGGAGCGTTTCGATCTGATTCTCCGAGCCGAAGAGATCTTTATTGGAGAGATTCTGAACTCTACCCTTCAGCCAGCCGTCTGGAAGGGTATCTGAGGCTGATTTCTTCAAACGGTCCAACACAGCATCTTCTTCAGTATCGGCTGCCCTCCCGAACAGCTCTTCCAACGTGATCCAGTGGACTTCGTCGCTTTCGTCCGACATCTGAAACGTAGATGAAAAAGACTTCACTCACCAGCGATTCATATGTGGGACAATAACAAATGAGGTTAGGTCCTCAAGCCGGTCCTCAAGCTGGTTGAACATGTCTTGCGAACAGTGCCCAGCGACCATATGAAAAGAGAGAGGTTAAAGCCTCATTCCCCAGTTGCCATAGCTATGTCATCACATGCCCGAGAGAATGTCTGCAGGCCGCGGTATGGTAGTGTTGATGGTTGGTGTTGTGTGCTCGAGAGATCATCTGCGAGCAGTGACAACCACCCTACGAAAAGAGATAGGTTAGCCCCTCACTCCCCAGCTGCCGTAGCTGTCATCGCATGCCCGAGAAAATGTCTGCAGGCAGCGGTACGTAGTGTTGACGGCGCGTGTGTGTATGCCCGAGAGGATGCGAGCAGTGACACGGGTAATTTGTCATCTCGGCTATGGCCAAGATGGCGGTCGGAACCGACGCCGTAACCCCGAAAAAAAATTTTCATTTCTGCATCGTTGTACCCTAAAACTAGAAAACAGGAATATTCAAAGAGAAGGACAAGGAGATACTCACCTTTGAATTTATCAATAAAACCAAAGCACTTTTAGCGCTTCTAAATTATCGAACGTTACAACAACGTTTAGCTACACACACGCTTCGGAAAATAAAAGCGTACTGAGAAACCTCCGCGCCCGCCGCGCGGAGCTACTTGCCAGGCACTTGTGGCTTTCAGAAAGTACCCTTAAACCCTGTTAGATGGCGCTGATAGGGAGATTTGACTAGTTTGGGTGCACACACATGCTAAGGATATGAAAGGTAATCTCCGAAGGGTCAAGCCGAAGGCACAAACTTAAAATAAAATATATACACCTGTTCATACAAAGTTTTTCAGATATTTCCATTTTTTCATCCGAATGGATAGAAATATTCAAATTTGTAGCTCAATCTATTTTCTTGAATATCTATAAAAATACTAAACTGATTTCAATATTTTTTCAAAATATTTGTCTTTCATCTCAATCAATACAATATTTATATTTGTACATAAAAAGTTTTCAAGATATTTCAATTTTTCAGTTTTTCACAAAAAATCCTTTTGTTTTCTTGTTCAGAATTCTTGTCTCTTTTGAAAGCGTATCATTGAGTATCTTCCCTGAGTGTCTTCAAAACTGCTCAACCCATGTTATTCAGCCCATATTAATTCATCAAACAACCGAAATTGAACTATTCACAATTCATTGATGGGAGAAAAAGATAAATACATTCCTAAGTAGAAAATCTTCAGTCACATGCTCATTATCACAGGCTCACTGTCATCTGCTTGTTTTACTGTACCTCATTTTGCAATTTCCAACAATCAAGGAATTATAATATTCGATCGTAAAGATAATTCAATGAACGGTTGTATAACACCCTAATGTAGGGTTGTATACTTCCTATTTTGATAAGTCAATGAAGTGTTGTTATACAACCTTGTAATATTCTCTTCATCATTTTCTTTGGAAGAAACTTCGGATTAATCGTTATAGACTGTTCTTTATTCTAGGTGTTTTGGGTTTGGATTATAAATGCATTAGTTCACTCGTCTCTACTGTACTGGTTTTCATTATTGGCACTGAAACATGATGTGATTTGGTCGAATGGACGAGATGGAGGTTACATAGTACTAGGAAATTTTGTATATACTGTGAGTATTACAAATAATTTATGTGTAAACATTGCAGTCGTTCACAATGGTTATTTCATCGACATATTCATTTTTCAGTATGTGGTAGTTACTGTTTGTGGAAAGGCTGGCCTCATAACAAATTCATGGACGTGGTTCACCCATTTAGCCACTTGGGGATCGATAATACTTTGGTTCTTGTTTATATTGATATATAGGTAAACAAATTACAAACCTATTTTACTGAACAATTTACAAATCGATTGTGGCTAAAAAAATTCTTTGTTTATTTATAGTAATTTTTGGCCAGCATTGAATGTTGGAGCTGTGATGCTTGGTAATGACAGAATGCTCTTTTCATCCCCTGTGTTCTGGTTGGGACTGGTTCTCATTCCTTCAGCTGTTTTACTCGTCGACGTCACAGCAAAAGCGTAAGTTGAAGAATCAGGGTTATTTTTAAGTAGTAGATCGTGATATGTCGGCTTATCTTAATGACGACCGATTCTGTAAACGTCAAGTAGTCTTTTAATTTTTTTTTGCAAGAAATGCCCTCTTTATTTTATGCATTATTTTGCAAATATATCCATAGGTTCAGAGAAAATATCAAGAAATCCTTTTTCATAAAATTTTCTGCATTTTTGCCAGCATTTCCTTCACAAAATTACTTATTACACACAATGGAGTCCCTTCATTTATTGGGCACATGTGATACTATGTGTTAACACCTTGTGTATAGAAATTGTAATCGCCACATCCCATTTATGCGCTCTTCACTTTTAATCCTACTAAAATGTTAATTTACCATCCCAATTCTGCGTTATACAATTCACACTTGTAAATGTTTGATTTACTGTGCGGAGATGAACATGCATAATTCAAGTATGTGCAATTCAAGAGAGACACAACATCCATCAAACTTGGGCCCGGATTGGGGGATTTTGTTTTTCTTGAATGTGACACTCAAATAATTCCTGTCGAGCTGCACACAACAAATTGAATATTTATAAGTCTAAAATAACACATTAAGGCATTCAGACTGTCGAATGTGTAATTGGGTTTGTACAGTTCAATTTAATAAAATTCAATTTGTATATCGTATAATGAGACTGTGAAGACTGCAGTTTCTGTAGATAAGATCTTAACGCCAAACATCCAATTGGTCACATAATAAAGGGAGTCCATTGTGTGCGATAGATCCTTTTATCTAGAAAATGCTGTCGTTGTTAAAGTATGCCTCGACTTATTACGTTTTATTACTGCAACACATGCAGAAGAGTAAGATACAATGGATACTTTTGAATTCTACTCTATTAGTTATGACTTGAAACAAAATGCATAAAAAAATATTGCATTCCATCAACAACTGAACGAGTCATTAACATTTTAAAAGAAAAAACAAGTGTCCATTTTACCCCACACTTCCCAAATCAAATGAATTTATCTTTATGATTTAATGATTTACTTAAATGTTTTGTTTTGGTTCACAGTGTGAAGAATACTATGTTTAAATCATTAACAGAAGCAGCAAGGGAGCAAGAAATCCGTAAATCCGATCCTGGTCATTTATTCACTAATCAAGATTACCGAAGCTCGTAAGTTTACCTCATTGCCATTTCAATCACCAGAGAAAATTAATCACTTCTGTCGACATATTCTAGTCATATTAATGTTATATGGAACATCAAATTAAAAAGCAATGCTTGAGCATGATGAGGAAATTTTTTTTCAAAGAATTGAGATCAAAGGGAATACTAAAACTAATATAATCAAATAATTTTCTTTTCAATATTTTCCTCTTGCATGGAATCGAGCTTTGATCATTCAATGAAATACTCAAATGTTCGTTTGCATGGCTTTAGTCCGTCATGTCAAATTCACCCTGTGCCATGGTCAAATTCATATTGAAGTCGTAGAAAACAGGAGAAAATGCCCCATTCAATGAATTCATGGATTATTTTGCAAAAATAGTCAGAAAAAAAGAGTTTCTATAAATGGAAATTTCCTACAAATGTACTGTGGAGAAATGTTCTCCTAGGAAAACTTTTCGTGTTATTTTTTTTTAAATTTGAGACATAACGATCTTTGAGATATTTAGGTAATAAATCATAATTCGACAATGAATCTAAATTCTCATTGATTATGCAATTATTTTATTGACGGGGGATGTCAGGAGAAATGTTCCCGAAGCCTTTTTGTGTGGAATTTCATGCTGTATAAAGAAGGCCTTCTGATATTTTTTCCAAACTATCAAACTTTCGAGATATTTGCAAAATAATTTACAGTAATCCAGTGACGAGGTGATAAACCAGATGGATCTATTTCGTCTTTAATCAGTTTTTCGAAAATATCTTGAAGGCGTTGCAGAATTTTCATGAAAAATACTCAAAAGGTTTCTATGAAAATAGATCTAGCGCCCTCACATTCAAAGATATTGATCAAAAACTAATCCTAGATCCTAACTGGATCGTTTAATTTTACCACTTCAATACTGAATCCTCTGTACAAATCGCTTCTCATCACTTCCCCACAAAACCATTTGTGTGAAATTCATTCAATGTCAAATGAGAATTTTTGTTGAAAAAGAAACTCTTCGAGAATTGATTTAAGTAAAATTAGGATAGCCATGATTAAACCAAAGAAATCTTTAATGGAATATCCCAACAGCCGATCAAGATCACTCACCAGATGGTTGAATCGATGTTGTCCATTACTAAGACCAAGTCGAAGGAGGAGTTTTAGGAGGTACCCATTTGCCTTTGTAACACGTCGTGGCTCGTGGTACCAATACACTATAAATCGTCCCCAGTCCCTGTGAATTTTTCATCCTCCAATAGATGCTTTTGTCATCCCAAGAAGATTAATCCAATGAATGAGATTGCGGAGAATATAAAACTGTGCATGACTTCCACTAACATTATTACTGGACGTTAAAAATCATCTGGTAATCGGATTAAATGTGTCTTTCCGTAGTGTAAATCACACCTCGAAGATTTTCAAGTGAATCAAACAGAAATAGATGATGTTCTTTATTTTTGTTGATGTTGTATTTTTATAGAAACTAAGTGTTAATCGTAGTGGGAGTATTAGAAATTACGTGGGAGTTTCCTGGTGCACGATTCAAGTATTATTGGTTTTCTATTATGCAAAGTCAGAATTATAAACACTGTATTGATATTTTGCATTAAATTTTTTGTTGATTGTTAATTATTTTTTATTTTCATTTGGTTTCACATTCTACATTATTCATTATGAACTCGCACTCTCATTCTTCCCATTTAACAATTATTGATTAATGTGTCAATTGATTAATCTTTCAAGTTAATGGTTGATGTAACTGGCTTTCTATGATTCGGTTTGTTTAATTTGGAATGGAGTTGTTTTCTGAAGTTTGTGGCAGATATTTTGTATTATACGAAGTGGTGAAAAACAGAAGGTGAATCCAAAATTTTTCTATAGATTATTTTTTAAGAAATGAGGGAATTCAGAGAGAAATGTCGGAAGACACTGTTGCAGTCCTTCAAACGTTCTGCTAAAAAATCATCTTGAGAATTTATTAGAATAATTAAATTAGTAAGGAATGTCTTGTGAGATGACTCGAATAATTCTACAGATTGTTTAGTAAATGTTCCTGGAACTAGTAGGTTTAGATTTTAAACTTTAGAGAAAATTGTCAGCAGATATTTGTAGTAGCCCCTGGAAGGTTTTCGAAAAAATCATTCAGATTTAATGTTTGCTAAATGTGTAGTGAAAGGTTGAAAAATTCAATTCAGACAGTTTCCTGAGTATCGGTCGAATTAATGAGTTCCGATAAGCTTATTTACATTTAATTATTTACCTCCACAGGTGTGTCGCAATAATTATTATTGAGGATAATCCAATCATTAACGAATGGCTAAAGAGGAAAGTCCGAAAAATTCATACCGACTTTTATAAAAATATTTCTAAGCAGTGGGGTAAGGTGGAATGTTTTTGATCCACTGTAATTCCTGGTCAGGGAGGTTACGCCTGTGCCACTCATCTGACATTCTTCAACATTATCAACTTACATTTTTTTCCTTCTCTTAATATTGAAACGCACATGGGTAAAAATAAAGTATTTATTAAGTTTAAAAGGGGACGATATCAAAAGAGACATGTTAATAATAAAAGAGAGAAAAGAAAAGAGTAATAATAACAAAAAAAGAGGCGCTAACTTCAGAGGAGAGGTTTTGAGGAAGGAAAAGAATGCAGATTCGATGGAATGCATTCTGAGGGAGAATTAGATAATCATAACAATATGAAGAATTTGATTTTTTTTGCTTCCGAATAGAAGCTTTGTAATCGATGGGTTTTGTGATTCTCCAATTTTGCTTGTTTAAATTCGATTTTATTGTTGAAAGTGCGTAAATTTACAGGATTTATTTATACTTTAGTTATAGCTGTCAGCCATGTTCTGTTATTCTTAATCTATACAGGGTACCTCACGACCGATCCTTTTCCTTCGAGGGTATTGAAGAGGGTGCTTTTTGAAGTGAAACTTTCCCTCCCACTTTTGGGTCTGAGTACTTTTTTTTCCTGCTTTTTGAAAAATGATTTTGGGCGCAGTAGGGCAAGGGGGGGGGGGGGTAGATGGTTACACATGTGGCCATCAAGCGTACTGAAAAGAAAAAAAGGACACAAATTTTTGCAAAATTGTAAAAATAATTATTTGCCCCTGAAATCAGTAGCAAGACATCAAAAGAAAAAAGGACGGACCAAAAAACAAGTGCTCAAATCCAAAAGTGGGAGGGGAACTTTCCACTTAAAAAAAAATATAGGAAATGTTATTATAGAACATGTATTTTTTTACGCAACGAATCGTAATACTAGGGATGTCATATGACCATCACATGACAGATGCCATCTATGATAATTTTGTCACACGAGTCAGTCCTCAATTTTTTTACATATTTTGTGATACAAATTCTATGTGGTCATCCACAGGAAAAAAATATACCTGAATATTTTATACTGGAATCAAGCATATGCATAAACCTGAATTAGGAATAAAATATACTTGATTTAAGTATATTTTATACTCGAATGGGGGCTGGATGTTTCAATTCGAAAATGATTATTTCGTATCAGCTCGGGTTGTACCAAGCCCTCTCTAGTATAACATAAGGGTCAGGCATTGAGTGTGAGAATGTAAGGGTCAAAAAGTGAAGGTTAAAAAATGAGGGTCGGAATATTAGAGTCAAAAACTGAGAACCTGAATGTAAAGGTGAAGAAATGAGGGTCAGAATATTAGGGTCAAAAAATTAGGATTAGAATATAAAATTAATAAAAGGGGGTTCAGGCAGTGAGGGTCTAAATATAAGGGCTACAAACGGTGATCATGAATAATATATGGCTTATATTTAGACCGTCATTGCCTGACGCACTTTTCTCTTTACTTTTATATTCTAACCCTAATATTCTGTTATGTTTTGACCCTAATATTCTGATACTTATTTTTTAACCTCCACTTTTTGACTCTTATATTCTGACACTAAGTGCCTGGCCCTTATATGACACTTGAGAGAGCTTGCTATAACTCAGCCTGATACGAAAGAGTAATCTTCGAATTGCCATATCCATCCCCCCAGGGCCGGCAGATCAGCAGTTTCTTATGTGGGGTGACTGTCGAGTATAAGCCGTAGAGGAGGAGGGGGGAGCAAGGGGGGGATCCAGGGGATTGACATTCAAGAGTCACAAGGGTCGACTGTTAGTCACGAGTGTCACACGGAGAGAAAAATTCAATGAACATTACCAGAAAAAGACGTAAAAATTACGTTTCGAAACGTAATCCGCGAGCGAAGTAAAATTCAATAGAAAGTGTGAGTCGGAACGGAAATTGTACGAATCGCCCCGTAAATTCTACGATTTGTTCCGTAAAAATTAACCACCCGTCTGATGACTCACCGCTGTGGGGCCAACAAGTAGTTCCGTAATTTTTCCCGAACGATTGAGAAATTTTACAGAACGGAACGTAGAAATAACTCACCAGCTTCATAGAAATTGTTGAACGTACAAGAATTTTTTATTTTGAAGGCATAATAAGTCGGGAAGTTGCTGTAAGATTTTACTTCTTCGGGAAAAATTACATGACAATTTCGTACTTTGTTCGGTGATGAACCTGAAAATTCACTGAACGTTTCAGATTTCTTCTCTTCCATTTCTATAAAAATTGCCGGGAAACAATTCCCTATTGCAGATTACGTGAATTGTTACGTAATTTTTACTGAATATTTCTCTCCGTGCAAGAATCAACTATCTGTAACAAGGGTCACATAGGTCAGCTATTGGGCACGAGGGTTACAAAGGTCGACTATTAACAGATGAGGATGAAATGAAGAAAATGATGAGAACAATAATACATTTTTATTCACCATTATACAGGGTTTCCCAGAACTCCAGTTTAATTTCTCGAGGAATAAAAAAGGGTGAAATTCTGAGTCCAAAGTTCCTCTTTGACTCTTCGCTCTGGGGCTTAGTTAAATAGGTATTAATTAATGAATTTAAAAAATGACGGGGGCGGTGGCCAAATTCGTATTGGATTAGCAACTGGGGGGCAGAAACGGAAATGGACGGA